TTCCCTTCAATTAAAAAAGGAGAATAACACAAATGTTCTGTGAGACTGACTTTTTTAAAGTTCATTGTTTATGATGTTTTTTGGATGATGTCTGTTTCTGCCCTATTTTTCACTGTTTTCCCATATTGATTCCATGTATAAGCTACAGCTTGAATAACTGAATGTGCCAATTTGGTACCAGGGTCCTTCTATGATAAAGACAACAGGTATGTTACACTATGATAAAGCACAGCATGTGTATGGATTAACAGATGGCTTCACAAGAAAAAACACAATACACATGAAAGTATGTCTGTTTTGTAGAGCAGAGGAATAATTTGGTAGTCAGGGATTCCTATAGGTAGAAAGCAGCAAAATACTACTAATAGGGCAACCTGAATAACTGGATGAAGATAAGACATGAAGGATGGGGAGGTAAGGATTAATAGCCGGTCTTTGACATGGAGGAGGGAAGACCCATTGGAGTGATTAAAAAGAGGGTGATGTAGTCAGATCCATGTATTGGAAGATAACTTTAAAGCAAACAAACAAACAAAAAAACCCACACACATTCTGAACATACTTGGAGGGGAGAAAATAGGTCAGGAAGGTAAAAATCTACAGTATTTGTGTGAAGCACAAAATACGATAATTGGACAAGTGTATTTGCCAACATACAAACTGTCATTGATTCCATGTAAATTTCATTTTTCTAGATAAAATGGATTTGCGTTATGGAATGTACTGTGGGACTTGCTCTCTGTCTTCAAACCTTATAAGAGTGCCTCATAGTATAGCATCTGAAGTGTTCAAGCCATCAAGACAATATACTTCTGTTCCTTTGAACAAAGGAGCCAGGCAAAACTAAAGGTCTAGTTGATTATTTCACTTACAAAGAAAAGATGATGCAAGACATCATGTAGTTTTGTTCATTTTCCATTCATTGATAACATGGCACAAAGTTTTGATTTCTTGAGCAAAAGGTGATCAGAAAATCAGCTGCAGTCTTCATGCTTTAATTCTTATATTTCCCTACCTGCCTTTGATTTAAAAAAAAAAAAAATCCCCTTATTGGTGTCATTGGAAACCCCATTCTGGTATTATTCAAGCTAAGGCTTCCTGGTTTTCCAGTGGCATCTCACATTGGGGGCAGTTTCAGATGGAGCTGCTGCTTTATGCAGGCAGCTTTGCTGGAGCTGGCTCTGCAGCCCTCACATAGCCCTGGCCCCAGCCCCAGCCCACCTCTGTATATAGGGCATAAAGATGGACTTCACACTCTCATAAGGATACAGCTGTATGGTATTAAACCAATTAGTTTCAGTGCAACTTAATCCAATTTATAAATTAAACTGGCCTAAAAATATTCAATATTGAAAATATTGACAGCAGGATGATTTTCTTTTTTCTTTCTTTTGTTGAACATCAACATCTATTTCCTTCCCCTTCAGCAGATACACTTCTTGTATCCTTTTCACCTTTGCTACATGATTCTTCACTAATAAATGGAACAGTAATGTATGTTTGATTTTGTTGTTTCACAGCTGCTTTAACATTCAAGTGCCTGGGAGACCAGTGGCCTGTATACTGCAGGGTGATAAGAGAGAAGAACCTCTGTCAAGACATGAGGTGGTATCAACGATGCTGTGAGACATGCAGGGACTTTTATGCACAAAAAATGCAGCAAAAGAGTTGACATCTATCAGGCTGGCTGACTCTCCGCTCTTTGCAATCTTGTTATTTATAAAAACACACAGGCCCGTACACACACATGCACGCTTCTTCAGACCAAATATTATCAGATTACATGTAATTTAATCAAATTAATTTATTTTTGCCTGCCAGACATCGTTAATTGTTTTGGTTAGACAGCCAACTTCTTTTATTCTCTGATGTTTTCATAACTAATTTTTATATGTACAATTTTAGATATGTTTATCAAAATTTTAAAAAAAGGTAACTAGTATTTTAAAGGTTTATTTTCATTAGAGTTGTCTCTCTGTTGCCAAAAAAAAGTCATGTTATCTTGAATTTATTTTAATTTAGCTGAATAGTTTTGTTGTATATGGAAATAAAGCCTTTTTCAATTTTATTTTATTTTTGGCATTCATAGTCAGAATTATCTTGTGTATTTTGCAACAGATCTTGAGGTGAGTAAGCTAACATTGAACAGGTTATTAGAGAATGTATTGTGAATTAAGTTCATTTTATTTAGAAACATACTGAAGGGGATAATCTACTGTAATTTATAAACAAAAAAAAATTAAAATAGCTAAGTAGGGATTTTGATCATTCTCATGGACACATACTTGAACACAAGTATTGAATCAATGAAACACTGTAGAGATTTACACTGAATCACTATTGCACTGTTTGAGGTAGTCTAGAGAAATGCAGTCCTAGGACTTGTACTATCCTATGAATCCATGTCTGTACTGTTTTAACATGTCGCTTGACTTTAAACATTTTGAAACAAAAAAAACATGCCCCTCTATACCCTTGTGTGTCCTCTTGCAGATTTGCAAATGGAAGAGTCCTTCATCCTCCACTTGTATGAATTAATCTGTTAAACATTTTCAATTCTCTGTTGACATTCTAGAAAATAACATTGTAATGCTACTTTAGTTTTATCTCTGTTTTATGAAAAAGTCTTTATAAAAATAAAATGTTTTACGGTTTTGTGAAACATTATGAAACAGCTAAAATTTTCCTTATGAGAAAATATTGTACATGATTCACATGATTTTAAAATTTTCAATAAAAAGTAAAGCTTCTTTTCTTATTTGCATTTTTTCTCTTTTGGGCATCCATGTCTGGTAGCTGAGTCCATCAGGCCCTACATTGCAACAGGTACAGCTACAGTAGTCCCTACAAAAATTGCCTCCTGCTTCTTGACTTAGACACCTTTCTGCAGCTGCAGACAGACATGACACTCTGTGAGCCTTCATATATGGAATAATATTCTGTGGAAAAGAAGTTATTTATTTCAAGTGAGTCCTGTAACCACTGAACTTGGCAAGAGGATGAAGACAGGTCCTCTGCCTCCATTTTGTGATGCCGTTGGGCTTGCTCTGAGAATATGTAGAAGAGCTAACTCTGAAAGCAAGACAGCCAGAAAAAATAAGTCTGAAAGGCATCATATTTTCTAATCAGTGCAAAAAGGAAATGTATCTGTATTGTAGTGATTGTTCCTTTTCATTCTCTGCACAGACTCTACTGTATGGAAGTAGTGTAAGTATCTACACAGAATTTAATACACTGAGGCCCCCAGTCAGGGCTGTGTTTCTGTCCAGGAAGAATACATAGCAGCAGTCTTAACTCCCACTGAGCAACTAATGCAGGTGCTTTCAAATAGTTATACAGTCAAAACCTTTGGTTTGGCATCTTACTACAGTTCATTCAAAAACTGCAACTTTAATGATGTGCTAATGTATGATTTTAAGTAGAGTATTGTCTGGTTTTAAAAAGCAAAGAAGGAAAGAAAAATAACTCTGACATCATGGAATGTAAAATTATATTTTATATAATTAAAAAGTTTCAGTGCACAGAAAATTTAGTTGCTCTTGGTCATAACTCCTCAATGGCACAGACATGCATTTGAAAGTCTAATAAAATTATTGTATTTGGCAGGCAACAGAAACAATAATTGTTTTAAATTTTATGCATAATTACTTAGTATTTGGCCCTGCTAATACTCCTGCACTTGTTTGAATCACAACTAAAAATGAAGCTAAAGAAAGATGTCCCCAAACTAGGGGCCAGAGGACAGTCTTTTATCAGCCAGGGATATCATCTGCACAATTTTGAATGTTTATGCTCTGCTGCTTCTGAATATTCCACTAACAAATATGTCAGCTTTATCTCAAAATGGAAAACTACATTTTAACTCTGCCTGTATCCATTGATAGCAGATGCGTGACTTGTGCTGAAATCATCTTCCCATCGCACATATAACATCATAAAAGACATTTGAATGGGAACCTGGGATGGAAAGTTGCACAGTAAAATGCTGTTCTTTTTAAATGTAATAAGTGAAATCAGGATGTTACAATGCTGATACCTCTGGCTCGGATTCCTTAAGCATCTGTAGTGCAAAACTATTAATTAGATATGAGTGAATAATTTTGAAGCAGTTTTGTGTCTACATAAACAAAATGCCTCTTCCTTTTCTGCATGAATTTGAAAGCAAGTTAATTTCAGTGCTGCGACACACTCTATCATCATTCTTAGAATCATCACAGACCAAAATACATGTTTTGTCAGAATGGTAAGAATGTTTTGAGAACATACCCTGCCTGTGGCCTGGGTCCCAGGTTCTTTTTCATCATCTATCCCTCTGCATTCCTACCTTTTTGTAGAATTGTAGAATGGTTTGGGTTGGAAGGGACCTTAAAGATCATCTAGTTACAACCACCCTGCCATGGGCAGTGACACCGTCCACTACGCTAGGTTGCTCAAAGCATCGTCCAGCCTGGCCTTGAAGACAGCCAGGGATGGGGCATCCAGAGTTTCTCTGGGCAACCTGTACCAGTGCCTCACAACCCTCTCCATGGGTGGTGAATTTCTTCCTGAAATCTAATCTA